GGGTCCCCATCCCTGCTGCTCCCCCCAGCCTGGGCAGGCACCCAGGGGCTTGGGCATCCTGCCTGCTGCAGGGATGGCTCCATGGGGCACCGTGGGCACCCAGTGACCAGTGGAGCCTTGACCAGCCCTCCTGCCAAGGGCTGCATGCACGCAAGCTGGCTGTGTGCTCTGTCTGCATGCATGTGCATGCATCAGCATGCAGGGGTGCTGCTGGGAGCACACAGGACAGGACAGGACAACGTGCATATGGGGTGCATACAGCAGCATGCGGGGGATGTTACATACACATGTGCAGGATGTGTGTGCACGCCACGGTGTGCAAGAGTGCTGTGTGCATGGGGTGCTCATGCATGCAGTGGTGCACAGGGTGCAGGGGGTGCAGGTGACGCATGTGCACGTGTGCATGCACCAGTGCACAGGGCAAGGAGCGCTGTGTGCGTGATGCAGGATGCGTGCGCAGGGTGACGCATGCATCTGGGTGGTGTGGGACATCCCGGTCCGGCCAGGGCGGGGGACGCATCTCTCCTCCCCCCCCGCCGTGGTGTTGGAAAGGCCACAATCTGCTCCCCACATGTGCAGGCGAGGCGTGAGCACAATCCCAGCGCGCGCAGGGCCAACACCGCCGCTCACAGCCCTGCACAGGGATGCAGCTGCGCTTGCTCGGCACGTGCATGGGCATGTGCATGCTGGAGGGGGCAGCTCCGCAGCCCCCAGGTGCCCCTGCTCTGCCCCCAACCTACCGTGCTCAGGTGGGCTGGCTGCCACCTTGGGCTTCTTCTTCGTGACTTTCCTCTTGCTCCCTTTAACCCACACGATCTTTTTCCGGGGCAGAGGGGCTGCGGGGAGCAAGGCAGGCACTGCTGGACAGAGGCACTGTGGCAGGCGCTGGACATCCCTGTCCCCCGCGGGGGACCTGGTGCATTGGCTGCATCCCGCATGTTCCTACCCGGCTCAGCACCCCGGCTCTGCTGCCCTTGCCCCAGCAGTACTAGGGGTGCAGCTGGGCGCTGAGCAATGGGCGCTCTGTGTGTGTGCGCAGTGTGTGTAGGTGCTGTGTGCGCGGGTGCAATGTTGATGGGTGCTGTGGGTGCCGTGCATGTGGGTGCAGGGTGCCTGTGGGTGCTGTGCAAGGTGACTTCCTACCCTGCAGAAGAGCTGCCCCGCTGCCAAACTGTCATGTGGGGCAGTCCCTCATGTGTGGGGACACCCCGGGGTGCCCAGGGCACCCATAAATGAGCAATGGCAGAGCCCGGGCACATATACGCAAGTGTCCTGGCCCTGCTGGCCATGGTGCCCGGCGATGCAGCCCAGCACGGCCAGGGCACGATGGCTGCAGGAGCCACATTAACACACGAGCACACATATGCGCACACATGCACACGCAGCACAATCCATGCCCTGCAGCCTGCCAGCACATGGGTGTGAATCACACATGGGCGTGAATCACCCATCCCAGCACATGGGGTGAATCACCCATGTGCTGGCACACGCGTGCTGTGGACGCACACAGAGGGCACACGCAGGCACCCGCGCATGTAAACATGTATGAACCACACACACATGTACAATCCCCTGCGCCTGCACACACACACCCCCAAACACGGGCTGTCTCACAGCACCACCCCGCTGCCCTGTCTGCCCCCTCACACTCACGCACTCACAAA